TACATAATCACGAGCTGCATATATCATATATGGCGTTATTGGTTGATAATAAAGTGGGTGATGAGGGGGGTAGGGGGTTAGCCGTTTTCAAACTATTACAGATCTTATCACATGATCACCACTTTCATATAGGGGGGCCCTTATTCATGGTGGGCTCTTATATCTTATTCATGAGAGTTTACGGTAATAAAAGTCCTGTGGCTTGTTCTATATTACATCTCCCAAATGACATGGACTTTATTTCGTGCAACGTTTTTCTGCATTAGCTAAAAATGTACATCAGCAATAGGTGATCATGTGAAAGAAGGTATCTCTATCAACTCTGGTTGCTCTTGGAAATTTGATCTCAGCCCGTGGTGATCTCAACAAAGCAAAACATACCACTCATATCCCATATCAAGATTCCAAACTCACTTGACTTTTACAAAACTCTCTCAGTGGCAATGCCCAAATGCTCATGATTGCTTGTGTTTCCCTGACAGAGTATAAACACATTAAAACATGCCAATCAAGCATGAAACATCAAGAATAAGGCGCCATAGTCAACCAGAAAGAATCTGGATGGAATGATGTTGATTGCATAGACTATTTGTCAAAAATTTATCAGAGCTCAACTATTAGTGGTAGTGGTTATAAGCAATGTGTTGGATCATCATTTAAGGAAAGGCTGAGTTTTTGAGCATCTTCAGGGATTGGTGTTGAAACTAAGAGAACAGATTAGGATGTTGATGACCACTTTAGGATGAAATACTCCGAAATTGACTAATGGATATAATTCACTGCAGTATTATAGAACGCGTTAGAAGATGAGCTCACTAATCTACAGCTTTCATATCAGTTAACACAGAAACACACAAAGGTAGCTGCAAACACCAAGACAATGATGATTATGCTGACAATGCAACTCCTTTCTGCTGGGAATAGTCAACCAGGCTCACCAAAATATCTCAGTTCTATTAAGGAAGAAGATGAGGCAAAACTTCTTGGTCATCAGACATCAGACTCGTTCCAATAAGCTGTAGAGCCTGTAATTGAAGAATATGAAAAATTAATCTCTGCTCTTGAGTCTCAGCTTTCCTTTGCTTATGCTCATGCAAACCATTGAGAAGTTGAAAAAGAGATTGCAACAAAGAGAAAATGATATCCAAAAATTGGAAGGGAAACTCAAGGCTGCAGAAGCTCAGAATGAGAATGTTGTAAAATTAGGGCACAAACTGGGCAGCCACAATAACACATTTTTCAACTAGAAAGCAAATAGAAGAACTTGTAAGTGAACTTGACAGATTCCACAATGCAACATGTAGGCCATTGACAACAACTTTTCATTATCATATGGTGTACCCAGGTACAAAGTGACAAAAACTGCAGACTTGAGCAGTAGAGCAGTAGAGCAGTAGAGCACCTGAGAACCTGAAAACCTGTGATGTGAGATGCAATTCATTACCATATACAGTATTATTTAATGTTGATTATTCTATATATGGTAAACTAGATCTTTTCAGCTCAGTATCTCAGTAGCTCAGCATTTCAGCACCTCAGCACCTCAGCACTAATAAAATCTAGTCAGTCTAATTTTATACTTAATCAAGCAAACTTAGAAGGTGTCTAGAATGCAAGCTAAAGCAAGACTATTGATGTCAACCATTCAGTTATAACACTTTCATAATAGTAAATACTAATTACAGCAAATGAAAAGTTTATGATAATATCAAAGTGATAGTGATGACTACTGATAATAATAAGGTAATTTAAAAGTGTTTGGTATTACAAATATGAACAATTTTTTTCATATGTCTCATACCAATCAAACAGCTTTACCATTGTAAATTACAAAGAAAAATATGTTCCAATTCTGTTAGCAATGAAACCTAGCTCAAGAATACAACAGTGAACCTGCAGCCTAGATGTGGAAATTCAGTATTTAGCTTTTAAATCATTATCATTATGTTTATAATTTATCATATTATGTACACCTATTACTGGTACCAATGAAAACTTTATTTTTAAGTAGTATACTTTCAATAGTAATAATAAGCCTTTACAAAGAAATTGTAACACCAAACAATTGCCTTATGCATAGTAAATCAAATGATTGCTGTCAGCAGGTTCATTGCTGTGTTCTTGAGTTAAGTTTCATTGCTAACAGAATTTTTCTTTGTAATTTACAATGGTAAAATGGTTTGATTGGTATGAGATATATGGAGAATAATGATAATAATAATAATAACAATTATAGAGTAAGTATCATATATGTTATCACACTTTAGCTTGCATTATAGACACCTTCTAAGTTCACTCAATTAAGTATAGAATTAGACTGACTAGGTTTTATTAGTGCTGAGGTGCTGAGGTGCTGAGGTACTGAGATACCAAGCTGAAAAGATCTAGTTTACCATATATAGAATGATCAACATTAAATAATACTGTATATGGTAATGAATTGCATCTCACATCACAGGTTTTCAGGTTCTCAGGTGCTCTACTGCTCTACTGCTCTACTGCAGTTTTTGTCACTTTTGTACCTGGGGTACACCATATTTCAGTCACCACCAAACTCACCAAGTAACTATAGCAGAATTTACAGATCTCAAAGCCAAGTATGCAGCATGTATGTGGATGAAGTTAATAATTTGACTAACCAACTTAATGAAGTGAAACTCATATGGATTGAAATGACTGATTCTACCAGACCAAACAGTCCTGCTCTCTGGTAATCATAACTCCTCGAAGTGCTCCTCTGTCTTTTGATGACAATGATTTGCTTTCACCATTCAGTCATATAGCATTATTATTATGTAAAGCAAGATCTCTATCTGCTGAAATACAGGGTGCTGCTGACAGACATGATGTGACCACTGAAGCCATAGTTCAGAAACTTCAAATCAAACTCAAGCAACTGGAATTCCTTCATGATGATAAGGTGCAAGGGTTGGAGGCTATATGACAGCAGTTTGCAAGATTGGAGATGAGCCATCATGAAGCAATAAAAACTCTGTGAAGAATTAAACAACATGATGCTTTGGCACAGATGCAAGTTATGTCTGCTGTGAATGCTGAGCATCAAAGGGATAGGAGAAATTCCATGACTGCTAGTGGAGTTGATCATTGGAAATTGTTCAGAGACTTCACAAGGAAGTCAAACAGCTCATGGAAGTGATGTTAGGAAGGGAGAACAACCACAAACATGACATAATAGCCAAGTTAGCAAATGAGATATAATCTCTAAAGTTAGAACTGAAATGTACTATTGAAGAAAAAGATGTGACATTGAATGGAATGAGCAAGTACTGAATTACAATCCAAGATAACCATAAATATATAAAAAGTTGACATAATCCAAACTAACTACCAAAACCAACATCACTAAATACAAACCCAAACTATGCTCATACACATCAATTCAACTGCTTTTCATGTATTTAATGCCAAAATTGAAAACAAATCAGAAACCCAACTATTTAAAGTGAACAGTGTATTTCTTACTTCACTAAAGAACTGATCTGTGCTTATGTCACATCCCAAAACAAAATTCTGAGTGGCTTGCAATGACTCCCTTCTCAACAGATGACATTTTAGAAATTAACTAATCTTAATGATGGAACAATGACTTTAAGTACTCAAAATTCAACAAATCAACATTATATTTCCAATGCATTTAACCAATTTCATCATACAATTATAGATAAATGTCCCATCTCCACTAAAACTTTGAAAACCATGTCATGGGCTCATACTTGGCTGCAAGCCATCAGAAACATAAACTGACCACACAAACCTACAACAACATAATGGTTTTTACTGTAAAAACTATGCAATACATGTCAGGATGCACCACCACTACAAATTTAGCTGAATTTGATATCATCATCTGACATAACATAGCAAAGAAAAATTTATATGAGTGAACAAGAAAAGCTAAGTTAGGCTCCAAAGTCTCAATTGTGGGAGAGTTAGACATATATGAAAACAAGTTATGTCAAACTACACAACTTTGAATTTATAACAAATACCAATCCATACACTACAACCTCCTCCACCAACCCTACAAACTCATCTCCTTACCCAACCACCCCATCAGCTTTGGAAAAGAGATCCCTTCTGTACAACTCACTAAATGGAATAATGAATGCAAACAGTCAGCCCAAAAAGCTCAAGGCAATCAAAAATGAAAATAAAGAAACAAACAAAGAGATGGCTACATCTGCTCCATCCAACCTCAATGACTCCTCTACCAAAACCAACAAGCAAACAACCCCTCCTCAAACCTGACTGTCTCATCAACCATGCACAAGACAACTCTGTTATAAAAAAAAAACCCTCAAAACTTAGATTTTTTCCAAATATTGAATTAAACTTGATAATGAATCCAGTTGAAATACATCTCTCTCTATATCAGTAAGTACAATTTTCCAGTACACATAGTAATAAAACAAAATAAGGGGCAGCCCTCCTAACAAATTATTTCTAGTTCAATTCAAGAATGAGAGTTGGAAATTATCAAGCCATTTTTTGGATGTATCAAACATCCATAGTGAGTGAACATAATGCCTCAGACAGTGTCAGGGAGCAGGGCCATTTCAAGTGTCTTGAGAACTAATTTCTAACCACCATGGTCAATTAATTCCAATAAATATAGCAATAATTGTCACCGGTTTTCTTCGCGAGGCGGCTGCGTCCCCTCACCGTGACAATAGGGCTCTGTAATGTCGATGCTT